GATTCTATGATTCTATGACATACTGTGGTTTCTTGTCAGTAAAATAATAAACATTTTCTTCTTTAAAATTCTGCATGAATGGAGAAAAGGATGTGGTTATTATTGTTGTTGTTGATGATGATGCTTTATCTCCATAATCATTTGGGCTAACATGGGAAGAAGGGTGTGGGGCTTAACTAATCCGCAATGGAAGACGTCATGGTTTTTAACAAAGCCGGGGTGGTTTTAAATGCTTCTGGCGCATCCTTCCTCCCTCCCTCCCTCCTTCCCTCTTTCCTGCATCCGAAGCTCCTTTCTTGAAAATAGCATCCCTTGTGTGACATCATCCCTGGACCACTTGGCTGACTTAAGGGCCATCGGATGCGGGCCAATCAGGCGGCTCGGTTGCGTCCAGCCAATCCGATTCCTTGGAGGTGATGTCATGGCCAGGGATGAGCGGATGCTGGCTGCCTCTCTGAGCATCTTTGGTCCTTGGAAAAGGAGGCGAGGGAGAGGTTGGCTGCAAAGTGGGCACCAAGGCCAGGCTTAGCAAGGGGTAAGTAGCATCGATCCACCCTAAATATCCCTTATTTGACCCAAATATTTGTCCTCCCCCCCCCCCTTTGGATTGCTTATAAAACAAACAACAATTCTTATATATAAGTGATCTTTGCATCATTTTGTGCACTCATTTTAATTCACTTGTTTAATTCTATTTTAATATTTGCATTGTGTGGATTTTAATGTTACGAACTACATTGCATCTTGATCGAGGGTGGAATAATAATAATAATAATAATAATAATAATAATAATAATAATATGCACCAATATTAGTATGTTTGTGTATTATCACAATATTATTATTATTGTATTGTCGAAGGCTTTCATGGCCGGAATCACTGGGTTGATGTAGGTTTTTTCGGGCTATATGGCCATGGTCTAGAGGCATTCTCTCCTGACGTTTCGCCTGCATCTATAGCAAGAATCCTCAGAGGTAGTGAGATGCTTGCCATAAAAAGTAACTATTAGAATCCTAGAATCCTAGAGTTGGAAGAGACTTGGTGGGCCATCCAGTCCAACTCCTTTCTCCCAAGAAGCAGGAAAATCTCATTCAAAGCACCCCAGACAGATGGCCATCCAGCCTCTGTTTAAAAGCCTCCAAAGAAAGAGCCTCCACCACACTCCGGAGCAGAGAGAGAGAGTTCAACTGCTGAATACCTCTGAGGATGCTTGCCATAGATGCAGGCGAAACGTCAGGAGAGAATGCCTCTATACCATGGCCATATAGCCCAAAAAAACCTCACAACCTCTGAGGATGCTTGCCATAGATGCAGGCGAAACGTCAGGAGAGAATGCCTCTAGACCATGGCCATATAGCCCAAAAAAAACCTCACAACCTCTGAGGATGCTTGCCATAGATGCAGGCGAAATGTCAGGAGAGAATGCCTCTAGACCATGGCCATATAGCCTGAAAAAACCTCACTACCTCTGAGGATGCTTGCCATAGATGCAGACGAAATGTCAGGAGAAAATGCCTCACGACCATGGCCATATAGCCCGAAAAAACCTACAACAACCCATTATTATTATTATTATTATTATTATTATTCCAGTGAACAACAGTTATATAACTAACTACACAATTTATCTCCTCAACACTCTAATTACATGGCACTCTAACTGTATCGTTATTTTAATGTTAGGAAGTGCTTTGTATCTTGATTGAAGTTGGAATAATAATAATAATATGTACAAATATTAATGTGTTTGTGTATTATAACAGTATTATTATTATCATTCAAGTGAACAACAGTTTCATAACTAACTACACAATTTCTCTCTCCCTATTGTAATTACATGGCACTCTAAAATGCAAACACATAGACATAAATTAGCTTTAAAGGGAGATTTTCCTGCTTCCCTTTTGTTGCTTTCTCTATAGTTTAACATTTCTTTCTTCTTTATATCCGGGAAGTTGTTTACTTCTGCGTGTATTTTAAAAATTAACTATTAGAATAATAGAATCCTAGAGTTGGAAGAGACCTCATGGGCCATCCAGTCCAACCCCTTTCTGCCAAGAGGTAGGAAAATCTCATTCAAAGCACCCCTGACAGATGGCCATCCAGCCTCTGCTTCAAAGCCTCCAAAGAAGGAGCCTCCACCACACCCCGGAGCAGAGAGAGAGTTCAACTGCTGAACAGCTCTCTCTCAGTTAGTAAGTCCTTCCTCATGTTCAGGTGGAATCTCCTTCCTTTCCTGTAGTTTGAAGCCATTGTTCCATTGTGTCCCAGTCTCCAGGGCAGCAGAAGACAAGCCTCCTCCCTATGATATCTTCATTCATGGCCCTCATCATATCTCCACTCAGCCTTCTCTTCTGAAGGCTAAACACACCCAGCTCTTTAAGCCGCTCCTCATAGGGCTTGTACTCCAGACCCTTGATCCTTTGAGTTTCCCTCCTCTGTACACATTCCAGCTTAGTGTCAACGTCTCCTTTCAATTGTGGTGGCCAGAACTGGACACAGTGTGATTCCAGGTAACGTGGTCTGAGCAAGGCAGAATAGAGCATGGGGAGCAGGACTTCCCTGGATCTAAATACTAGACTCCTATCTATGCAAGCAAAATTGATCATCAGTTTATATTTCCAAATATCCAGTCTTTTCCTCTCCTTGAGATATGTATTGAGTTTTTAAAAAGATGTCATCTTCTTGTATTATTGTATGCAAACACAACAGAGGGCATGCCACCAACTATCCATTATTCTGGGTTGTTGTAGGTTTTTTCGGGCTATATGGCCATGGTCTAGAGGCATTCTCTCCTGATGCTTCGCCTGCATCTATGGCAAGCATCCTCAGAGGTAGTGAGGTCTATTGGAACTAGGAAAAAGGGTTTATATGTCTGTGGATAGACCAGGGTGGGACAAAGGACTCTTGTCTGCTGGATATGGTGTGAATGTTTCAACTGACCACCTTGATTAGCATATAATGGCCTGACAGTGCCTGGAGCAAACTTTTGTTGAGAGGTGATTTGATGTGCCTGATTGTTTACTCAAGAAAAAACCATGAAAATGAACAAAATCTGGCTACCAGTATTAAAAAACTCTAAAATTACAAACAACAGAGAGGAAACAAAGCAACTGAAATGTATTGTCGCAGGCTTTCATGGCTGGAATCACTAGGTTCTTGTGGGTTTTTTCGGGCTATATGGCCATGTTCTAGAGGCATTTTCTCCTGACGTTTCGCCTGCATCTATGGCAAGCATCCTCAGAGGTAGTGAGGTCTGTTGGAATTAGGAAATGGGTTTATATATCTGTGGAATGGCTGGGGTGGGGCAAAGAGCTCTTCTCTGCTGGAGCTAGGTGTGAATGTTTCAACTGACCACCTTCATTAGCATTGAAAGGCCTGGCTGAGCCTGGGAAAATCTTTTGTTGAGAGGTGTTAAGATGTGCCTGGTTGTTTCCTCTCTGCTGTTTTGCTGTTGTAATTTTAGAGTTTTTTTAATACTGGTAGCCAGATTTTGTTCATTTTCATGGTCTCTTCCTTTCTGTTGAAATTGTCCACATGCTTGTGGATTTCAATGGCTTCTCTGTGTAGTCTGACATGGTGGTTGTACACCTGGAAGTATTTGTAACCCAACCCTCCCCGCATTCAGGCCATTATGCTAATCAAGGTGGTCAGTTGAAACATTCACACCTAGCTCCAGCAGACAAGAGCCTTTGTCCCACCCTGGTCATCATTCCACAGATATATAAACCCCTTTCCTAGTTCCAACAGACCTCACTACCTCTGAGGATGCTTGCCATAGATGCAGGAGAAACGTCAGGAGAGAATGCTTCTAGACCATGGCCATATAGCCCGAAAAAACCTACAACAACCCAGTGATTCCGGCCACGAAAGCCTTCGACAATACATTATCCATTATTCACTCTTTCTCTGCAAAATCCCTGCTTTTCTTCTGGTTTTCTGCCCTTATTTTATTCATGGGCGTACAATAATAAATGGTTATTGGGTGGGTGCTGTCTGCAATCCTTTTAACATTTTATTTTCTTGTTTTTATCCCGATGATAGGATAAATAATGTCCCCAAAATTTCAATGAGAAGAGGGTTGGACCTTGGCAGGGAGATGTTTCAGGGGAAATAGGAGCCAAAAACGAGAAGGAAAGAAGTCCAAAGCATTATCAGTTCCCATAGCCACATTTTTGAGGGAATCAGAGAGGGAGATTTAGGATAATTTCTTGGTTTTTTTGCCTTATTTTGGCTCCACCTTTGGCTTGCAAATCTGCAGTGAACTCACCACAATGCAGCCGGTAACAATGGGGTGATAAAAGCTCAGCAAGTGGTGACCGGATGGATGCAGGACTCCAACTTCTTGCAAAAAACCCTAAATTGACTCTTCTATTTCAACTCCCTGGCCCTTATTTTTGGAAAGATTATCAAAATAGGGGAGAATGCTATAAAAATCCTTATAGGAGTTGGAATACACGAGGGTTGTGATATAGAGAGGGGCGGGGCTCTAGTGCATGGTAGGTATCCTTGCATTCCACCCAAAGCATGCATAATAATAATAATAATAATAATAGTAATAATAATAATAATAATAATGCAATTCCACACTTCTGCATTCTTTCAAATGCTGGATGGCAGGGTTCTTTTTAAGAGACACAACCTGGGTTTGCAGGTATTTTGGGCATATTAAGAGTACCAACTGTAGGAACATAATTCTAATAAGTGGGTGATGAAAGGCAATCAATCAATCAAGCCGTCAATCATTAAATCAATATCCCGCCCTTCTCTCAATATAGGAATCCAATTTGTCCCTAATAATAGCTGCCCTAGACATACAGACAGGGTGTGTCTAGACAGTAGAATTAATTCAGTTTGATTAATTCAGTTTTAAACAGAAGTTGGATGACCATCTGTCGGGGGTGCTTTGAATGTGATACTTGCTTCTTAGCAGGGGGATGGCCCACCAGGTCTCTTCCAATTCTAGGATTCTGTGATTCTATGATTCTATGATATGCTATTGAATTTGGGGAGTTGTAGTTTTGCAAGGTCTTTAGCCTTCTTTGCCAAAGGGCACTGGTGTTTCACAGGATTCTATAGCATTGGGCCATGGCAGTTTAAGTAATGTCAAACTATGTTAATTCCACAGAGTAGATGCTCCCACAGATCTAACAGCCCACCGTGTAAAGATTGGGAACTTTTGTTTTCACTGCTATCAGGTCCGAAACTCTGTCCGCCGGTCCTGGGTGCAACAGGCTATCCCAAAAATGACACCCATAGGCACCAAATCTACCCGATTTCTGACCCATGTCTCATTATCCAACATCAAGGCTAATGCAGAGAGAAGCATGGTACATGAACGGAATATGGGTTCCAAACTAATCCGATTTAGAGTATGTCTACACTGTAGAATGAATGCAGTTTGACACCACTTCGACTACCATGGCTGAAGTTTATGGAATCTGGAGAGTTGTAGTTTTGCAAGACCTTTAGTCTTCTCTGCCAATGAGCACTGGAGCCTCACTAAACTACAGATCCCAGGATCCCATAGCATT